AGTGATCGGCGATGGCGACCTCTCGCGTCCGGGCCTAGTGCAGGCCATGATGCGGAGCGAGGGGGACTGGGATGCCGTCTCCTCCTTTTGCGAAGCAGTCATGCTAGCTAAGGAGGAGGCGGGACGCGTGAGGCAGCGAAGCGCTGCCTCCTCGCGACCCAGCCATCGCGAAGGACACACCGGGCGTCGGGGATCGCGGGACGATCTCCGGCCACCGTAAGCGCGGGCCTGCGGACGGCGAGCATGGGTGGCTCCCCGTCCGACCAGAAACAGACCCGAGCGTACGGCGCGTCGCGTTCCGCGCGCGCCTCAAAGAGCCATCAGACCACCACAGATGGGGCCCAATAGGGCCGATGCCGATTCGGAGTCGCGGAGAACCTAACGGGTAACCGGGGCTCCGGCTCGACGTGCAGGAGAAGGAACGGGGTGGTTTTTAGTCAGTAAGAGTCTGACACTCCCTTCCGCCTCACCCAGGCGGGAGCAGTCATTCGATGATTTTCCCCCCTTAAAAAAAAAAAAAAAAAAAAAAAAAAAAAAGTGTAAAGCTAGAGACATGTAGTTCATAACAATGTAATTCTGGAACTCATAATATTTTACAACGCAACAGTAAAGTACAGACAACAGATTGTTATTATAAATTCAAGGGTAAAATCTGTCAAGCAGGAAGCACCGTCATTAACTCTCAATGAAGACAGTTTTAACTCCTCTCGGTCGGAGTTAAAGAACAGTGGCAGGATTTACGTATTTCCGTTTGACCGTTCCGCGGAGATTTTATCTCAATGTTTTAGGGGTCTGACATACAAGCCTTAGGAGTGAACAACAATAGGGTAGTTTCCTAAATTTTATTTTAATGACCGTCTGGTACATTAATTTAAAAATTTAGACACGTTTTTTTTCTTTTCTCACAAAAGTAAATACTTTCGACGATATATTAATTTGAAATATCGCGTGACGTCACAGCGTGTCACATTTTGTAGCACGTTATGATGTAACCTCCCACTCCTAAATTTTGCGCCAGTTTATCTAAGTATTGCAACTTAATACGAGAAATAAAAAAATACGTGTCTAACATTTTTCCATTATCTAACTGACGGACTAATTGGATTTTTAATTTTGATATCCTAGAAACTACCCAATTACGTTTTGACTGCTGATGGAAAACTGTAGAGGCATGTTGGTTGACGTCGTTCAATATAGTCTGACACCGTCTGAACGATACTGTCCGGAGTTGAATGTGTTTATAAAAAAATAATATAGTTAAAAAGAGACTGACTGCCACATTGGCCGAGTGGTTTGGAGTGCGCCTGCTAGGCAAAGGGTCTCGGATTCGATTCTCGTCAGGCAAAATGTTATTGGGTTTTAAAAAATCTCAGTATTAGCACAAAGTCTGGAATTGTGCCTGGTATATGGCTATAGGCTCACCACATGGGACTCATAACACTAAAAGTGAAAAGGTGTTGCATTGTATAGTAGCGTTAAGTGCCGTAATGTGCGCCTCTGCCTACCCCTTCGCGGATAAAAGGCGTGATGTTGTCTTATGATGACTTTATGAAGTTCGTCATGTCAGTCAGATACAAACTCGTTCATTTCACAATGTGATCTTGATTAGTTAATACCGCAGTAGAAGTTATAGAATGTTAAAGTTAAATAAAAATTACAAAGACTCCTCGCCAACAAAATTGTTCTCTTCAATTCTAGACCGTATTTGCTGAGCATTAAAGACTTTTTTATTAGTACCGGCTCACGTCCGGGATCTGCGGAATCTTTCTGACTTATGTTTAAGGTTTTTATTGTTACAATTTTCGCCTTTAATTACCAGTAATGTAATTAAAATATATTGACTTATACTGTTTTACAATGACGAGGAACGAATAATATCTACATTTAAAAAGTTTGTATATGAATAAAATGTTTATACAAAAACTATTTATTTCATATAAAAACAGTAAAATATTTTATGTTCCATTAGACACATAAAAATTGAATAAAATTAAACAACATTAAAAGTGACAGAAGGCTTATTACAATCATAAGCGAACAGACTTCATGTATGTACCTAATTGCTAACTTCAAAGTTAAAAATATGTACCAACTCGTTATTAGTTACGAGTTACTAGAAAAAACATAGCAATTTCTTTACGAATCTCGAACAAACTACGTCACAACCACCTCATACTGACTGAAGGAAAACTTTTAACAATCTCGCAACGAACGTTCACGAAACATATAGGCAACAGTTTCTAGTTTGTTCGTTGATAACCTCGTCAACGTTACAACTTGCTCAAAGAAACTATCTCGGTGGGAATGTACAAGAAAACTGAAAACAAAAAAAAAATCGTGCTTCTAACATTTTGAGGTATGAAGTTTGAAAGGAATTTTGTTTTATAACTTTCATGAGACATACTAAATTAATTACTATGTTTTTCGACTTACGTAAATATGAGCAGCAGCGCATCAGCCGCCGCGGTGCTCATGTATATGAGCCTCTAGCTTGGATTGAAACTAGTCGTGTTCCTCGTTGAATAATTACGAAAGCAAGCCGAAAAACATAATCATTTATTTTGTTAGTAAGTTTCCAAAATTATTAAGGTTTGAATTTCATAAGATTATTTAGCAATTGTGGGTGTATGATTTCTTAGTCAAGTAATGATATGCAAAGGTATGATAGGCATTCTATGCTTACACCATGCTTTTTTATTCAATGCTTACCCAAATCTATGTTTGTAATTGTATGTTTGTACTGAACTGATTATTGAGTATATTCTTCTCTAAGAGCCGATTTTTCAATCATCAGTTAATTCGTTATTGTAGAATAAAATTAACATTTGACAGTTTTGAATATTGAAGAATAGTCTGATTGAAGATTTATTCCTCAGTTAAAATTTATCTAGCATTGGAAAAATCGTCCCTAAGTCATGACTTAGGAAAGTGACTCAATATCTGTAGTAGTCTGAGTCCAGGGAATCATACAGCAACAACTATAACACTTAAGCTCAATTCATGAATTTAAATCGTACAACCACACTTCATTATACCAGAAGCAATTAAAAATATATAAAAAAATATTTGCAAACACATAACATTTTACCGCTGCAAAATTCAACATAATAGGTTTAAAAAAACTTTACTATCCAGAAGGCTATTAACTGTTTTGAAAAAACGAGCACTAGCACCCGCTTAGTGGCTAGTACAGGAACAAGAAAAAAAATTCGTTTACCCATCCCATAACAGAGTTAATGGCTGCTCTCACCCAACGGTTTTGCAGATGGTACAAGGTATAAGAGACAGCGTGAAGTTCGCGTTACGCGTTTAATAGTATATTCGACATTAAATTTAATATAAAACATTCCTTTTTAACTTCTGCGTTATAAATACTGTCAGACAAAAAGTACAAATAATCAAGCTTATAGCAATAACTTTCTATTTTAAACGTTGATGGTCTCCTTCTAATATAGAACTTCGCCATTGATCATTCGGTTCAAATTATTTTATATAATATCAGACCTTTTATTTGTAGAAAGGGTGTGTATTATGGTGTGTGTATATGCACCTAATGCATACATAACACATAATTTATGAAGATAAACAAATGCGGAGTGTCTGTCTGTAATATTTAACTAACCGCTTTTTACTACGTGCATATAAATATACAGGGGTGGTTCATTTATTCAGATAAAAAACTAAAATTAAAATCTAACTATTACTTAAAGAAATTAAAACTAAATATTACTAAATTAAATACCTATATACAACTAAAGATTAAAATTAATTATAAGAGAAAACAAAAACAACTATTTACATAAAGCGTCGAAAAATTCGTCCGCATCGACGTCAGTGGGGAAAGTACCCAGAAGGCTGGCAGCATTGCCACGTTGTATGGCAATGCTTAACCTCTGACCGAGAAAAAGACCAGCCCTCTGGTCACGAGATGTGTCAACTAGTGTTGACACATATACATAAAATACATATACCAAAATTACTCTCTTTACATTTTTTGTCTATCTATCTGTTTGTACTGGTTAATCTCTGAAATGGCTTGACTAATTTTGACAGGACTTTTATTAACAGGTAACTGATGTACTAAAGAGTAACATAGCCTACTTACATATATTTTAGAAAAACGCAGGCCAATTTGCGAACACAGTTAGTTATTAAACAGTGACGTTTGACTTATTGAAACGGTGTATTAGCCCCACTTCGATATAAACTGTTCTAAACAAAGCCGCAGTTCATTGCTCTGTCATGGGATAACGCTTGGGACCATTCAACCGATGACGCAGGTAGTAGGTAAGTACATAATTATGGCATTGTATCGATACCTCCTATAGCTTGCGTCAAACTCTCGGTATAACTTCCAGTTAACTTGACTATACAGTTTAACTACGACTGCAGCAGTCGCCCTTTGGATTTGTAATTAACACGAGAAAAGTTAATAAGCAATGTTTAAATCTTACGCGTTTTTCACTGAACGGTTAAAAACTATGCATATTTAATGAACTTTGTTAATTAAAAACTATCTTTGGTTTTTGGGTAATAAGATTTTATTTTATTTAGTCGAAATATTTATTAATCAGTTGCGTCCGCGCATCGGTTCCGTACGGTTGCGCGTAGTGATCATTAGCGAATATGGCTGCGAATCTTGTGAAATGTTCCAAATGTAACATTGTGATAAATGAGGTGTTAGCTTTTGTGAACAATAAGTTAGATGTTATGGACGAGGAGAGTATAAGTAGAATATGTGTTAGTGCTTTTTCTGAGAACGACATAGTGGAGGCTAAGAACCTACTATTTGAATCTATCTCTGCAGCAACAAAGGAGAAAAAAACGAGGAGGGGAGACGGAAAGTCACACCGAAACATTGATGACATAATTTGCACCCTAAAGGAGACGGATCCAGAAGAAATACCAATATTTGTCGCCCGGGAGCTGCAAAAATTACCCCGATTCTTTTTGACCATGTCGATGTCACGAAGTTACTTAAAGATATGTTAATAATTCAGAAAGATATAAGTGTTATAAAGCAACAATATGCTACGACTGAACAGCTGGAGAAGCTACAGCGTGAGTATGATATGTTGAAGCAAACTTCGTTGGTCAACAACTATGGGTACAACGTAAACAACAGGCGTGGAGCATGTTTAATGGAGAGCTTTGACGGTGATACTGACCAGGCGCAACATCCTATGGGTGAAATAAGTACGAGTACTATGCATAATACCATAATCTCTTCGCCAGAAACCGTTTACCGCGAAATAGTGCATGATAATTTTCGATCTGAAGGTAGTACTACTACAATATCGAATATAAATTCGCAACCGTTGCATTCCGAACATAAGGAAATAAATAACATGAACAAGTTCAAAACTAAACTGCATTCTAACTCCAATACGGTTCAAAGTTCTGTGAAGTCGAATAATGTAGCTACCACGAGTTCTCAATCAACGACATACACGGTGAGTCATGCTTCTCAGCTGATTGAAGACAAAGTGCCTTATATACCGAAACACACGGACTGTATGATTAGTGAGACGTCTGTAAATACTAAAAAAACGATGGCGGACATTGTGAAGGAAGGTGAGTGGAAGAAGGAAACTGAGGGTGATGAGTGGATCCAGTTAAAGAGGAGAAGACACAGAAATCGCTTTGCTGTAAATAGAGGGAAAGCCGAGGTGGACACAAACGAGAAGTTCAAATCTGCTAAAATCAAGGTACCTATTTACATTTACAATGTGGCGAAGGATGTATCAATGTGTGACATTACCAAATATATAACGAGTAAATCACAAATAAACGTTACTCTGGAACAAATGACAATGAAAGTGGATAAAGAGTACAACTCTATAAAATATATGTTCCCAAAGAAAGTTTGGAACTCTTCTTGCAAGATGATTTTTGGCCGGTCGGTGTTGCGTATCGTCGATTTGTTAACTTTGGTTATAAGCAGAAACGTATGAGTGCCTTATGGGCGAGCGAGCATTACAGAAGCAATACTTAATGACGTCTACTAGAATAGCAACTTTTAATTGTAAGAATGTTGTAAGATCAGTTGACTGCATAAGACGACTTTGTCAAAAGATGGACATAATCGCGTTACAGGAGACGTGGTTGTTTCCACATGATTTGGCTTTTCTGGGAACCATAGATGACAGCTTTGCATTTACGGGTACTTCTGCAATGGTTGCGTCGGATGGTGTACTGCGAGGGCGACCACACGGAGGTGTCGCCATTCTCTGGCGAAAGAGTGCGTTCCGGTAGTATCAGTGATTATGTGTGATAGTGTGCGGCTTGCAGCAATTAAAGTTACACTAGGTGACCGGTCGTTTTTGGTGATATCGGTTTACATGCCAACAGATTGTAACGATAATTTACTAGAATTTACGGAGTGTCTAAGCGAAATTAATGCAATAATTGAGAATAATAATGTTGAAACTGTATTTATGATAGGCGATTACAACGCGCATCCCGGTGAGTTGTTTGCAAGGGAGTTGTTTTCTTTTTGTGCGGAACAGACATGGACATGCGTGGATATTAATAGCCTACCGTTAGATACCTATACTTATATAAGCGATGCACACGGGTGTTTACGTTGGCTCGATCATTGTATTGTGAGCGAGGCGGCGCTAAGTACTGTCACGCAGGTGTCTGTTATCTATGACTCATACTGGTCCGACCACTTACCTATTATGATAGAATGTGATTTTAATGTTATTCACGCTGCAATTTTAAAGCAGAATAAACAGACTGACCGGGTTGTGTGGGGTGAACGCGACGCAGCGCAAATTAGAGAATACCAAAATTACTGTCATTCACGTCTTAGAGAGATAGATTTTCCTTCAGAACTAAGTCAGTGTTGTGATAGGATGTGCTGTGATCGTGGTCATTTGCATTTGTTGGATGAGATGTATAATGACCTAGAATGTAACTCTCAGAAGCGGCTGAATTCAGTTACAAAATGAAAGAGTTTAGAAGGGTAGACATATTACTGGATGGAACGTGCACGTTCGCGACGCTCATGCCCGGGCGCGACTTTGTTACAATATGTGGTTGCTGAGTGGTAAGCCTGGCGCCGGTAGAACTTACCAAGACATGTATGAACTCGGAAGATATTCAAAAATAAGTTAAAATGGTGTCAGGCTCACCAAAATCAAATTAAAATGGACATCATTGCAAAACATCATGCAAATAAAGATTTTAGCAAATTTTGGAAAACAACAAATAAGCTCAATTACAGACCAAGCGTCCCGGTGAGCGTTGAGGGCGTGCATGGCACCCGTGATATAGCGGACCTGTTCCGACGACACTTCAGAGTCGAATCACCTCTGACAGGTGAGCCGTCGCGGCTGCAGGTGATCGATTCGGGGATGGTCTGCTCTGATCGTAGTGTGACTTTCACCGCAAAGCAAGTTGCTGATATAATTAAAAATATGGTAAGGGGCAAATCTCCAGGGCATGATAGTCTTAGTATCGAGCACCTGCAGCATGCCGGGGTTCATTTGCCTAGAATATTATCTATGTTTTTTAATTTGTGTTTATGCCATTCATACCTACCAGAAAGATTAATGCGTACTATTGTTGTTCCAATTATTAAAATAAAACCAGTGACTCCTCTACGATTTCAAATTATAGACCAATTTCTCTTGCGACTGTAATTGCTAAGGTCCTGGACAGTCTGCTTGGACGCCAGCTGGACAAACACTTAAAAATAAATGACGCTCAATTCGGCTTTAGACCTGGCTTGTCCACTGAAAGTGCTATATTATGCCTCAAGCAGACTGTTCAGTACTACATAGCTAGGAAGACACCAATATATGCCTGCTATTTAGACTTGTCAAAGGCATTTGACCTGGTGTCATATAATAAATTGTGGGACAAACTAATTGGAGAAACCTCGGTACCACCGGAAGTGATAGGCATATTTAAATTTTGGTATAGAAATCAAGTGAACCGTGTGAGGTGGGTAGACTCTCTGTCCGAAGAGTATGGGTTGGAGTGCGGGTAAGGCAAGGAGGTTTAACCTCCCCTGCGCTCTTTAACCTATACATGAATGGTCTGATCGAGGAGTCTGCGGCGCCAGAATCGGTTGTCATATTGATGGCACGTGTATGAATAATATCAGTTACGCCGACGATATGGTGCTGCTGAGCCTTCAGTTGGAGCAATGCGAAGAATGCTTAGTCTTTGCGAATCCTACGCGAGGTCGCACGGACTCAAGTACAATGCAATCAAGAGTGAATTGATGATTTTCAAAGCTGGTAATAAAGCTACTCTAAAGTACCGCCTATCACACTTGACGGCATGCCATTAAAAAGAGTTACTGAATTTAAGTACTTGGGCCACTGGGTGAATGAAGACCTTAAAGATAACCGAGATGTGGAAAGGGAGCGCAGGTCGCTGGCTGTCCGAAGCTGTATGCTGGCCCGTAGGTTCGCCCGCTGTACTGCACAAGTTAAAATAACGCTCTTTAAAGCCTTCTGCCAATCTTTTTACACGTGTAGCCTGTGGGTGAACTTCACGCAGAAGGCATATAGCGACCTGCGCATCCAATACAACAATGCTTTCCGGGTGTTGTTGGGCTGCCGCGTTTTTGCAGCGCGTCCGGTATGTTTGCCGACGCAAATGTTGACAGCTTCTCAACCGTCATGCGCAAGAGGTGTGCATCATTACTATATCGGTTTCGTGACAGCCCCAACACTATCCTGAGGACGTTGGCTGACCGCTGGGAGTCTCCGATTCTGGGTCGCTGGATACGACTCCATGCAGTAAAATAGACGGGGATGGGAGAGTCCCTAGCGGGTATATTTATTTAGTTTTAGTTTTAAATTTATATAATGCCCGATAGTTTAGTTTAGTTTATTTACTAACATTAGATATAAGTCATAACTAACAAAATATGGAACCAGTTTCTGAAGTAAATGTTTATTATTATTATTATTATTATTATTAATAAACAATTAAACTTTTATGCACCTTTACCCTAAAATCAAAAACCATTTAGCAGTCTGGAAAGGTACTTGTACAGTGGTCACATTATAACTATAGTCTCTCTTATTCTGTCCACAATTCGGGCGCGCAAAACTTTTAAAATAAAAGTTATAATAATTTAAACTATAAAACAAGATATGTCATATTAAGAGAAGAAAATTAAGAGTACATTTATTACAGTTAAAGATATTAATAATAAAAAAATGAAATCCAAGAAAAGGGCTCACGATATAATTTTCTCGATTGTTATTACTTATTATGATTTTCAACACTTACATAGGAAGCAAAGTTATTAATCAATAAAATAATTCGATTATCTCTGTTTTGATGTCGGCTAATTAATATACTAAAACCTTCCTCTAAGTGCAATAAAATCTTTTCTGAAAACCGCAGTTCAAATCAAAATCGGTTCAGTCATGCCGGAATACTGAAACGTTACTCAATTTTAAGTCGTGCTTAAATATCGTGCCGTCTCTGTCATTTTACAAACAATTTGTAGAGACAGAACTATACTTAAGCGCGACTTAAAATTGAGTAGCATTTGAGTATTCCGACATCAATCATCGAAATAATCACGCACAAACAACAATGCATGAAACATGAATGCATATAAACATACAGGTCATACTGAGAACCTTTTTTGAAGTCGGTTTATAACGATTGATCTTCATAAAAATCCCTTTACATCAAAAATAACTATATAAGAAACATATTTTTTCAAAGAAAGACACAGGTATTGAACTGCATCACATTTATATGGATGTGTTTTTGTATTTCTCTTTTGTTGGCATCTCGCACTATTACACCGTTCTAACCGCAGCTGCGTCTTCGAGGCGTTTTATATACTACGACAGATCGTTTTACATCATCGTAGTTGAACCAGTTTCCTTACGTGATCAAAACTTGTAAATTGAAGACCTTCTAATTTAAAGAGCAGGCCTTCTAATGTGACCAACAATATGATGTCAATTATTATGTTTTCGGCTTACTTACGTAACTGTTTCACGAGAATCTTGACTAGTTTCTAACTCGACTAGAATATGGTCCTCTAGCATGGCTTGAAACTAGTCGAGTTCCTCGTCAAATAGTTACGTGAGTAAGCCGAAAATATAATAATTAATTACTATATCTCACGAAAGTTTTATTATAGTGTCAATTGAAATGACTAAAATAACAATTAATTAATTTTTTTTCTCGTTAATAGATCCCCATTATTGCATGTTTGTTTATTTCCTTTTATAGTGTGTACCTCACAATATACAGACGTTAAATAACGATCGCGTTGTGTTTCGTCGTATGAGTGAGGTTACCGGAGGCCCAATTACCCACTTCCCCAGTCTCCCCAATCCCCGAATCCCCCGCACACCTCAAATTCCTAATTCCCAAAAGGCCGGTAACGCACTTGTAACACCTCTGGTGTTTCGGGTGTCCATGGGCGACACCGATTGCTTACCATCAGGTGATCCATCTGCCCGTTTACCAGATTATCCCATAAAAAAAAGTATTTTAATTTTGCTCTTTACTTTATATTAGGTTTATATTAAAAGTCGTTCGGTAGACAGTCGTTATCGTATCGTTGGGTGTAAATTTCAGTCTTCTATATAGAAAGTTTCTTCTCAGAAACTGTTGTGCAAATTAAGTTCCTGAATGTCTAGAGTGCATTATTGTTTTCTTTTAAACATTTCTGTTTGAACGATTTGTTTTATTAAAATGTATAAAAATATTTCGAACTTATTTTGTCTTACTCAAGTAATAATTTGACGAGGAACTCGACTAGTTTCTAGCCATACTAGAGGCTCATATTCATGAGCAGCATTTCGCGACCCGCGACGTGGCGACTGTCGACTGTAGCATGGCTTGAAACTAGTCGAGTTCCTCGTCAAATTATTACGTGAGTAAGCCGAAAACATAATAATTTATTCAGTATGTCTTACGAACGTTACAATACAAAAATATTTTGAACACGTAATTTTACTTTAAAGTTCGAAAAAGGTTACACATAACATGTCTCTTTCTTCTTATTTCTTTCATTTTTCTTCTCTCATCTTCTAGCGAGGGTTGATAATCCTAAGAGCTATCCAGGGATATGAGGTTGCACTGAAACTATTCTCCTCCTGTAGCCTGGCCTTCCTTTAATTTACAACATACCTCCTTGATACCATAACATTACATAATGCTATGTAATATTTTGACAGCAACTAAATAACATGCGTCTACGTGTATTACCTTTAGGATATACTAAATTACAATGGCAATTGTGTCACAAATTAGTAATTAATGTGATACAAGCCTAGACCTATTTCGAACGCAATGTTATTATGTTTAGATTCAAAATTGTATATGTAATAGTTGTTTTGGTCCTTGTGTTACGTGGATTTGTGTACAATTGTCTCTATTACAACGACTTAATTTTCATCACCATAATAGGCAGGCATAAGACACATACTGCTAAACATAGGCCTATTCTAATGACTTTCAGATCAGCTGAATTACAATGACATGGTAGACAAAAAAAACCATTAAAATTACTCTCACACAATAATATGCCTGGGAGGAAATGCCTGCAGTATTAAATCCATCTAATGTACATCTTCTTTTTTATAATATATTTGATCGACCGACGTTTGACTATTATCACTCTATGCATAAAGCTTCTCTACATATTATAAAACAAAGTCGCTATCCACCGTCTGTCTGTCCCTATGTATTCTTAGATGTTTAAAACTACGTAATGGTTTTTGATGTGTTTTTTTAATAGATAGAGTGATTCTTATGGAAGTTTTATATGTATAATACATGCATATTCCGCCCGTGCGAATCCGGGGTGGGTCGCTAGTCAATAAATAAATAAATAATACCTTACCAAACACATTCTCCGCGAAAATATTATAATACATCTTGTTGTCGCCTCATCAAACAAACTGCGACTAACCAGAACAGAACTATATAAACTAGATAGAAACTTACATATCCCAAAAGTCTCACGTATTCCATTTATTTCCTAATTAACTCTGTATCCGGGACGATGGATGAATTTACGCCGAGTACCATGTTTCGTTCAACTTGTTTGATTCGACATTAATGTGGACAAACATGGATGTGGTACACACTCAAAGGCGAATATGCCGACCAAATGACAGTCTGAATTATGTTCGTAGATTTGTAGTTTGATGTGATCGTTGTGTAGCGAGAATTTTTTTTTTTTTTTTTTGTAATTGATGGGGCGACGTTTGACCACTATCTCACCTGTTGGTAAGCGATGATGCGGTCTACGTTGGAGCACGTCGTCCCATAAGCAACCTATTCACTCGGGCCTTGAAGACTCCCAGGTTATACCCTTCAGGAAATACAGACTCTGGCAAAGAATTCCACTCTTTAGCAGTACGCACAAGGAAGCTTGAGTACGCACAAGGAAGCTTGATTGGGCATTGGATGATGTGTATGTTCGGAATAAGCAGCATACCTGTGTGTAGACGGATACGTAGGTAATAACCGGTCAGTCCATATGGCTGATTTTTATTTTCTGGTGTTTACCAGTTTTAAACCAAAATTCAATATTATTGATTAATTATTTTAAATCCACAATTTTATTTATTTATTTATTTCTTTACTTCAGGCAACTGTGGCCCATATAAAATATAATACACAAATAAAAATATAATACAAAACTAAAAAATAACAAATACCAAAAAAATTTAACATCAATAAACTAATAGATATACAATAACAAAACTCATAATTATAATTATTGCACACGAAGAGACGGCGTCGTGTTTTGCTGACTGGTATCACGTAGCCGGCCACGGAAACGCCGATACACGATACCCTTCGGCCAAAATGGCCAAAAACAATGAATACTTACTCTAGAAAAATCTTAAGCTATTTTTGGTAGTTCTTTTAACAAACTTAAGAAGCCGATTGTACTCGATCAGCACAGCCCACAGACACACAGCACCAGAGAATTTACAAGTGTATAGTAAAAACTATTACTGGGTTTCAAAAAATATTTTGAAAATTGCGCGACACCGTCGCTGCGTCTGTACAAGGTGCTCATAATGAAAAGTATCTCTGTGACTAGAAACTAGTAGAGGTTTTCTCAGTATTTCACGTGAGTACGCTAGTGTTTTTAATTAATTTACTATGTCTCGCGATAATTATTACCAAAAAATCAGTGAAGTTTTTTTTCATGCTTTGATAATAAGTTATCTTCTGGCGATTATTATTACTAAATTTTTTAAGGTGTAAATATTTTAGTTCTTAGTAATTTTTATTTATAATAATATTAATATTAATATATTATAAATAGAAATATATGTTAATTCAATAAGTTAATTTCAGTGGTATATGTATTTATTAGCCGTAGACTTCAATATACTGCCAGAAAATAACTTATAAAAAAGATGCAGAGCAAATACAAAAATCCTTCTCCAATTCTTTTTCGACATCAGCACCTCGCCCTACAGATTAGTATATATCAGACATCACATCGTAAGAAAGTTATCTCGTTAGTCAGTTATCTTCAAACTTATGGTCAACTGGTGCTCCCCTGGCAACTTTAATAAATAGAGATTATTGGAGTCCAGTATTTTACGAGGGTGGCCGGGAATATAAAGTTTTTCGCTTACGAATACAAGGAGTAATTTGCCTTAATATTGAAACTCGTAAAATTGTGTAGTCAGTATGTTGGGATCACTGTTTCTTAATAAGGTATACTGTGCAGATACCAGAGTAAAATAGAAAAAAATATATTTATCAAAATGTAAAAGTACGTGTTTTATGTTAAATTAATGTCCTATAAATTCTACAGAATCGGTGACAAATATTAGACTTATTTTCTAAATATTATTCACTATTACATAACAATGATCTTGTAATCTTTGTCATTAGGAAATTCTTTAGAATAACAGCCGGTCAATATGACGTTAATTAGTAAAAAATTCTGGACCATTCTTTGAATACTTAAGAGCACTTAAAGCTTAGTAACAACATTGTTTTCATACTTTATGTTATAGAGTTCCGTGTAAGATAAATATTCGCATATCGTGTGGGTCCACGCATTTGACAGTTAAAAATCCACTTGAGCCTAATATTACTCGCCAGTTGATGACCAAGCCATGTGTTTGTGTTTTCTTTCTTAAAAATTATTTTCGCTTAAATAAAATCATTAGGCCAGACCAAACATAAAGAAAATTAAACAATCATAATTATTTTCTTAACAAAACACGAACTAACTTAAACACACATTAAAATTAAAATTTACTAACCTACTAACCCAGTTCATCCCTACATTCAGCATGACGATTAAATAATACGAGCACACAATCGAGACATAAAAGTAAACAGGCAAATTGTCTAAACATTCGAGCATTTTGTGGGAATAATGGCTCGTTCTGTATTCAGTACCCTCACATTGATATTGGTCGTTTGGGCCGGCCTGTGCACAAGTGGCCGACTATCGTGTTTAGTCTTTGCGCTCGGGTTGGCTCGAGGTAAACCGAATTTGTAACTGCACACCGAAAAGAGTGAGACCTTTTTGGTGTTTATATTTTGATGTGGTCGTAATCTAGTGGGGTGGTGTTTGCTGAATATTTTTGGCTCTTGTTGATCGCGTGAAGTGGTTTGGCTACTAGACCTTTAGGGTATTTTTTAACTTTTTTAAACATTTTTGGGTTTAAAATTTGTTAAGAATACCTTATTATCATCATCATCATACTCCTAAAATAAATAAATTACTTGTAATTGAAATGTATGATAAAACACCAGCGTTGTGAGCTAAATGACATGGAAACCAGTCAATATAAAATAGACAAATTAATATTATGAGGTTGCCATGGAATTTACCCCGTTGGCCGAGAGGTTGCAAGTGCGACAGCCTGGCAAGGGGTCTCGAGTTCGAATATCGGGTGGGGCAAAGTACTACAGGGTTTTAAAAAAAATCTCAGTAGTAGCACGGAGTTTGGAATTATGCCGGGTATATGGCAATAGGCTTACCCTCTATTACATTAGACCTATAACAAAAAAAGTGAAAAATGGGTGTTACATTGTACAGTAGCAATAAGTGCCGCAATGTGCACCTCTGCCGAACCCTTCGGTGATAAAAGTCGTGATATTAAATATGATATATTGTGTTCACAGGGAATGTCAACTGAAAAAATTGACATTTCTATCCATTTTATTACACAAACATTTAGTCCATTCATGTAGAGAGGTTTCTACTCATAAACATTAAGATTTACGCATGCATTTTGCACTTATTAAAGTTTCACTTCTCTTTCACATACAGACAGACTTCAAACTAAACAAGATATATTAGCATAATTTTGATTCTCCTTTTATCGGTCGAATAACATCCCTTTTTAATGCCTTTGGGTCAACTAGACTTAGGCAGGCTCTTTATAGTTTGGCCGCTGACAATTTAGCTCGTGGAAATTTCTAGAATTTGAACAAGACTAATCAAGTCTTGATGTGTTCCTTTATACCTTATACCTTCTAATCTCGTCGCGGAGAACCTAACGGGTAACCGGGGCTCCGGCTCGACGTGCAGGAGAAGGAACGGGGTGGTTTTTAGTCAGTAAGAGTCTTACACTCCCTTCCGCCTCACCCAGGCGGGAGCAGTCATTCGATGATTTTCCCCCCTTAAAAAAAAAATACCTTCTAATCTCAGGACGAAATAGACAAAGGTGCACATATTATACAAAAAATACCCAGTTATGTTAGGTATATGTAATGAAAAGTAAGGTCATTACCATACACCGGACAAAACTCTATAATAATTATGATTACTGATTCTTTTTAAAGCAAAACGGGTCAATGCTACTCTGCCTGACTCAAAAATCGCTTTACATTTCGATCAGTAGTTGGCACTTTACACTTGCGTCATCTTCACCATGGAGACAGTATAAATTCAAGTTATAGAAGATTGTATCTATACAGAGATATATTTTATGGCACGGTTGGTGCGGTGGCTGGGTAATTGGCTGCCGCGCAACGTGTCACGAGTTCGATTCCCGCACGAAGCAATTATTTGTGTGATTCATAAATTGTTCCTCTGAGTCTGTGTGTCATGTTTATTTAAACATAACATAACATAAACATGACATCACGCCTTTTATCCTCGAAGGGGTAGGCAGAGGTGCACACAGAAGTGACACCCACTTTTCAATATTTATGTTATGAGTCCCATGTAATAGGGGATGAGCCTATTGCCATATACCGGGACATTTCCAGACTCCGTGCTACTACTGAGATTTTTTTTAAAAACCCAGTAATTCTTTGCCCGACCCGGGAATCGAACACGAGACCCCTTGCCCGGCAGTCGCACTTGCGACCACTCGGCCAACGAGGCAGTCAAAGGTATGGTATACCACGACACAGGAAAAAGCCCCAGGGTGAGGAAGTCTTTAAAAAAAAGAAAGAGAAACAGATAATACAAAACGACAATAGAATACAGCAGAGACTTATGGTCGACACTGTGATACGTAGAAATTGTGTAATTCGTATGGGACAAATATTTGAATGATTTGCAAACACAGTTAATTCAGGCGTCCACGCTTAGTGCATGTGTAAGACTATTGTTATGTAAAGGATTTAAAACATAGTAATGGAGATAAGTCGTCTAGACAAATCAGAGGTGAAAATATAACAAATGCTCTTTACTTTTATGCACAAACTATTTTATTTAAATTTCAGATCGTATTTGTTTGTTAAACCAAAAATTGTCATACGTAACCAATGGCTATGGATGACTTCAAGATACGTATTTTTTTTTTAACTATAATTTTAACATAACATCACGCCTTTTATCCCCGAAGGGGTAGGCAGAGGCGTACATTACGAAACAATGCCACTGTACCTACAATGTAACACCCACTTTTCAGTATTTATGTTATGAGTCCCATGTAATAGGGGGTGAGCCTATTGCCATTCACCGGGCACAATTCCAGACTCCGTGCTTTTACTGAGATTTTTTGATAAAACTATCGAAACCGAATCGAAACCGAAAACCCTTGCCCGGCAGTCGCACTTGCGACCACTCGGCCTACGAGGCAGTCAGGCAGTTTAGCTCAATAACGGTTAAATAAAAAAGTTATTAAAGGTAATGTAAACATATCTGATTCTTGTATAGCATTAAATAGCAATCACAACACGTTTATATAGAAACCACTCCTAACAGCAATACAAATCATTTTTTTTTCTGTTTGTCACAATTTCTTTTATCCAAATCCAAATATAATATACATAACACAGACACAAAGCTAACCTCACGCAATACTTATACATATGTACATAGCAATAAGTATCAACTTCCCCCGGAGGCAGGCTTATCAAAATAAAGGCGAGCAATAAACGGTTGGGAAGAGCATCGCACAAATTGATGCTATTACCGAAACACTGAATGTTATGTTTTTGTTAGGAAATTAGTGTGGATTTTGTAACTATTATATATACTATTGCTATTTATATTGCTATTATCTATAAGGCAGTTCTTTTGAATATATACTTTTTAAATTTTCATCGAATCAATTCAAATTCATTTAATTAATTGTGAAGATAGGTAGCATTAGGGTCATAAATCACATTTTTAAACGCTATGTTAGCTTTTTCAGCATACAAAATTAAAAAATAGTTGGAAACAATGATTGATTATTATTACTGAATGTCATTAGGATTATTAATTATTAGTTTTCGTTATTAAAATAATTTTCTTTTAACGAAATGACATTTGATTAAAGTAAAATAGTAACTGTCCTATTTATTCTTTTACAAAGAAAAACGAAACACGAGCATTTAATCGCCATGTATTTGCGAAGCTATTAATTATTGGATCACCAAACGACAAGAATTACTTGCGTAATCGTCTGAATAGAAAAATGAATATAAATTTTTTCTCAAAGTTTTATTCCCCTTTTTAATTTTAGGGAATTTTATACCGCAAAGCATATGTTCGTTTCATCATAGCCTTATAAGTGCATAAATCAACCAGAGATCAATGGATCAAAACTAAAAAGTTGAACAACATTCTCGCACATTTTTCTAAAAGAATTTTAAAAGTATGTAGTTGAAACTCTATTTTCAAACTCTCTATAATCTCTATAATATATCAACATGTATACAGATCTAAAGTCACCAAAACGCTCGCCAACCCAAATCTACTTCACTTGTCTCCTCTATACGACTGATTTTACAAAGTTAACAATTAAGGAAATATTCAAAAATCGCCCTTTACTTCTCGGTCATAAGGTTGAGAAGGAATGCCAGTTTATTTTGGTAGGTCTCCACAGAGGCGTTTGGCGTAGATTCGCTGATTAGTGTTGCACGTGTCGATTGTCGATTATTAATCAAGTACCGATTTGATTATTTACGCTTTACGCTGCCAACCATAGAATAATGCCTGTGACATGTGGATTCCTGTGTTGATTTGATTAGTCAACGAAGATGTCATGTATTAACTCAATGTTGAAACTAGCATAGGGGATGAAAATTTGTAGTATTACGTAAACATTTACTATAATTCCTTTTTTTACTTGCAAGCAGAAAGTATGTACTGTTTGTAGTTAGCAATTAAGATCATAGTATATTTTAACTCGTCGAGTACCGCTTTTATAGACACAATTAAAGAACAATAGGTCGCGGTCACCGGTGACCGCTTGGTGTTTGACAGTTTAAATTGTCAAATTATTATTACTTTTCTCTATTTTATTACATAACTCAAACAATATACTTTTAAAAGACATTTAGAAGCAAGTATTACTTTATTTATCTCTTTTTCTAAGAATGATTTTAAGATTCAAATAACATCTCTATCTAGTATAAGTCTCATACTATCTTTCGGCATCGACATCGATAGTTGATAGTAGCCCCACCACTAAAAGCGGAGCGCTCAACTGTGTTCGCATTCAGTTTCCCGCATATCTTGATTGTGCGCTCAAACACTCAGCTATACATTTTGTGTTCCGTTAATTTTGATTTGATCTGCACTGTTTGTTTTTATTAAATTCTGCAATAACTAGTTTCTTGTATGTTTAGAACTGGTTACAAAGTTATATATATTACAGTAATATCTAATAACAAACTATTTAATGTGTTTTTATTTCCTAGATGTAAAAGTAGTCTTAGATCTAGTTTCACAGTGGAACCCTGGAACAAAATATCAATTTTACTTCTAGTAGAAAGTTTATGTATGCGAATGAAAATCTATTAGAGATCTAGATGAGTTAGATACAAGAAAAAAAATAACAAACAATTGTGATTGCTATCTAATAAACATTTTACACGTTAATGCCAATTAGCAATGGTGTCAGAAATATTTCCTAAAACATTTAAAACTCGATAAATGTTCACACCAATAAATCTTGCCCTACCATTTAGTCAGACCCATTGGCTCGTGAAAATACTGGAGACATCTGTTTACAAATTAAACATCATTTGTCAGTCGTTTGCTTGAATAATTTCTTTTACTTGTCTCTTCATACTGCTAGCGCCATCTCGTAACAAACCGTTGAACTTTCAAGAGAGCGTGGTAAAAGTTCGAAACTTTGTCGCTGTTGCTTAATGCTTTAAATGTTTTTGACTTAGTTTGAGGCATTTAAATTCATGTTTTGTATCAAATATCTTATGTAATCATTTCGATAAAGTTATTTATTACATTTTAGCTGCATTGAATACACATGAATAAACTTGCTTTACATTAAAGTTGTTCAATGACAAATTCAGCTCAAATCGTCATAGTATAGCTGTTGATATTATTTTTATCACTCCGTTTGCTGTATTTTATGTAAATAATAAGCTTGTTTATTGGGTTTTAATAAAAACTTTCTCGTGCAACACATATATACAAGCATGATACTAGTTTATCACAAAAAGAAATAATTGGGTACCTACCTACTCTTTTATACATAAAATCTAGTATGGAATAGTATCATAATCGAAGTCAATTTTTCATATTGGGTTTTTATATTGATTGTGTATCAATTATGTTTGTTGTCGCGTCGAGACTAATAACAGAACTATTGAAAGGGGTTGTTCAACCCATTTGTACCATTTCCACCCTTTAGTAAATAATGTAATTAAGATATATTACATCCTTAATAAACATAGACTTCATCCATCACTTCACAAACCCCTTCTTCACCTATAATTGAATACAAAATCTTCAAAACAGCTTATCGTGGTATCCTCCTTAAGTATACTAACGTAGGGTCTCCACACTCTAAATCTCATTAAGCCAAGCTAATAAATTTTATTTTAGGGGTCCCACCGTCTGGATTACAAATAGTCTCATTACATTGTTTAGATAATACTGATAGTGTTTAAATTAAGGGTTTCTGTTCAAGATCGAGGGGTTGGAGATTCTATTAGCGATATTTTTTTAATTGTGACTTTTATGAGGTTGACTAAAAATAGAGGTGGTATGTTTTTCTAATTCATTATTTATAATCAAGATAATGTCTTGTAACTTTTCTATTTATTTTATTTGATAATTTGGGTCACCGATAATTGATTATACTGATACAATATAGGATTTTTTTTAAGTGGGGAAAATCATCGAATGACTCTTCCCGCCTGGATAAGGCGAGAGGGAGTGTCAGACTCTTACTGACTAAAAACTAAAAACCACCCTGTTCCTACTCCTGCATTTCGAGCCGGAGCCCCGGCAACCCGTTAGGTTCTCCGCGGCACAATAAGGGTTACATTTACGATAACTTAAATACCAGTGCATTAATATCTTAGACGACTTAGGTACATAGTCTAAGTATATTTTTATTTTAGGTTTTAGTTTAACCCGATTTTCTATAACAAATTGAACCCTTTGAGTACCGTCATTATAGACACAATTAAAAAACAGTAGGTTGCGGTCACCGGTGTCCTCGCGGTGTTTGACAGTTTAAATAGAGTAGTCACTATCACAGTAACCAAATAGGAATAAAGTCAGGCGTTTGATCTGAGTCAAACAAAGTATGATTATAAAATCCTGTACACAACTTGCACTTTGTTTAATCTATACTTATAATAAATCTGTAGAGAGGTCAATTCTGTACATAAAATATATTTAAAAAATAACTATCAAGGGGTGGTTAGGGATCGCTACTGATGCCAAAAATGCAATCAGTAAAATTTTTGTCTGTCTGTCTGTCTGTCTGTATGTTCGTTATGGAAACAAAAACTACTCGATGGATTTTAACGAAATTTGGCACAATTATTCTTCATACTCTTGGGCAGGTTATAGTATACTTTTCATTACGCTACAATCAATAGGAGCAGAGCAGTGAAGGAAAATATTGGGTAAACGGGAGAAGTTACTCCATTTTTAAGCTTCCGTCGCGTGTGCAGGCTTATAGGTTAAAGCTGCATAGAAATCATGAATGACGGAAATATTCTCCTTAAAATTATATAAAAAATATTCCTCGACAGCATATGTCTATCTTTTATGGTTGACTCACAATAACACGTGAAACTCCCGATAGCTTAGCAATTCGGTGATTTCTGATTGTATTTGTCTACTCTAACGTTTACAATACTGATTCATAGACTTTACGCTGTAACTGAAAGGCCAATGATTGAAATTAGCTTGGCTCGATATTAAAAATGAAAATATGTGAGTTTATGTGTATGTTTGTTACTCAGTCATATTAAAACCACTGAAGGGACCGGAATGAAATTCGGAACAGAGGTAGATTATGGTCTGAAGTGATACATAGGCATTTTACCCCTGGGATTGCGGGCGAAGCCGCTGGCAGAAACTAGTAATTTCATAAAATTATATTGGTAGGCAAATAGGACTTATAACATGACTCTGAAATGTATATCTTTCCGTTATTGTAGGTGCGTCTACTTTAAGTTATTTTATTGCAGATTATGATAATTCTTCCTCATATCTGTCAAAGACTTTCACTGCTGAACATACCTCCATCAATGACTTCTGGATAAGCTGGTTAGAAGCGACAACAGATAATGATAATTATACAATGCAGTAGTAGCACGGGGTCTGGAATTGTGCCTGGTATATGGCAATAGGCTCACCCCCTATTACATGGGAGTCATAACATAAATAGTGAAAAGTGGGTGTTACATTGTACAGTGGCATAATGTGCACCTCTGACTACCGCTTCGGGGATAAAAGGCGTGATATTGTGTTATGTATAAATATTTATCTCTATTCGAAACTAGATTTCGGAATGATCACTTTTCAGCTTTACTAACAATTTAATTTGACGTTTCAAAAGTGCCTCGAGGATTATTTGAAATAAATTCTTTAGTATCGACTTTATTTTTCTAAGCTACACAACATCATACTGACCAAGTAACACTTTATCATGCCAAGTACAAAACTCACATTTATCACATTAAAACTAATCTAAACAGAGCGATGCTATTAGGAATAATTCAAGAAAGTTCCAGCCACAAATATTGGAATTACATTACGAGTCCAAGGTGGAGGCACCAAATTTGCGGTCCCATAAACACGTCTCCTTGACAGTGTGGCGTTGAGCGCAGTTTGCAACTTTGCTTGTTGGCGACCACAGCGCTCGTCCCCTGTACACTGAGTAAATCTTTTGTTTGAGCTGGATAAATGGGTTAGCTTGGTTTCTGTATGTTTTTTTTTTGTTTTTATAGAAGAAAGTTTTAGAACTTTGTTCTGTTTAGCATGTGTAGAGGATTAGACTACTGGCTGATAATATTATACTTTCCGATTTTTCGACATTCTCATATTTTTTGTTATATTTTATCTTCACATTCTTCTACATTATTGTCATTATTATAACAAAAGCCTACAAACAAAGATTATCAAAGATTTTGTTTCCTATAATTTACGTAATATTGATCTAAATGTTGACACAACAACATCACGCCTTTTATCCCCGAAGGGGTAGGCAGAGGTGCACACAGAAGTAACACCCACTTTTCACTATTTATGTTATGAGTCCTATGTAATAGGGGGTGCCGGTGAACCTATTGCCATATAGCGGGCACATTACCAGACTCCGTGCTACCACTGAGATTATTTTTAAAAAAACCCAGTAATACTTTGCCCGACTCGGAAACCGAACCCGAGACCCCTTGCCCGGTAGTCGCACTTGCGACCACTCGGATAACGAGGCAGCTAAATGTTAAATTACCACAAAATATGGATTCTCTGTTATAGCACGAAGTTTATCGTTGCAGGAAGACTAATAACAAA